ATGTACAAACCGAGGCTTACATTCCGAAAACTGTAGGGCCCCTATATTAAAATTATATATCTATTACCAAAAAAAAAAAAACCCACACACACACCCACCCACGTAAGTGTGTATTTGCCTGCAACTGGGGACCCCCTATTGTTCCTCTTTTGTTTGTACTTCAACTTTTTTTGGAGACCACCCATATGTTGTGTACACAGTTGTCAATCGGGGACCCTCTGTCAATCGAGGACCTTATTGTCCCCTATTGTTCAGGGTCCCCAATTGAATGCAGAAACAAACTCACACACACCAACGAGCGGAACTCGGAAGCGAGCGGGGGGGTTTGTTCGAACCCCCGACCCCCCCCGCAGCCTACGGGCCTACATAAACATTAGTGCATGGACCGCTGCCACGAGAGCGGTACATGTATTGCCATCAAGTGTCTCAAAGTCTCCCATCTATTGAATGCATTTTGTTTGTATAGATCTGTAGAGCTGTCAGGGGTCATCTGTAGCCAGTACTTGAACTACCTATCTGCGAACTATACCTGCAACTGCGAGGAATCCCTACACAATAGACAGCTTGCGCCGCCGGTTAACGAGAGGGATGATCCCTAGATAATGGACCGTATGTAGTGGCTGAGCTGTGTCGGCAGACTATTGTGTTCATGATTACATTGTGTACGTTGGAAGTGAGCGTTGGTCGACTTAACCTTTGGACACTAAGGAAGAGAGGACGCCCACATGCTAGGGGTCTTGGGTTTGGCTTACTATGGCTACCGAGATTTGATCGATACGGGAAGAAGACTCTGTTGTCTCTAGCTGAATTTTATAATCCTTTGAACTAGAGTGGTTTACGTCTCGTTACCCTGTACATGTATACGTTTCACAAATTCAGTCAGAGCGGAGCGTTACTCTTGTTCTTTATTGCGGAACCTAGATGTAAAATACAGCATTATATAAAATTAAGAATTCTGGGGGTGGCATGACGTCAGTTGGGGATTTTTAATACGTAGCAAAGGGGTAAATTATTCGTCGTGCTGTGGAATATTGTGTAGACGTTCCGGCCAATATCTGATCTGAGAATTATTATTCGATAGTCATACCGATAAGTATAACACAAAACAAATTTGGAGGACTTCACATATTGGTTTCTGGTAGGTTTGTACTGGTACCGTTTCATTTCCGGTTGTTTATCATTGATTTTTTACAATAATTATCTTAGTAATTTTAAGAATTACTACAAGGGTGATTACCGGAAGTTTGTTAACTTTGAAATCAGAGTTATTAAATGTACTCATTATTTTTGGAACCATTTGTCTCAACAGACTGTTATCTTTTAGGCATGCTCCTCTTCGTCATGAAACAGTCCGGCAAATTTTTCAGCATGTTTAGGCAAAACTCTATTCAAGGCTTTGTTGACGTTCATGCCTTTATCAAGTTTTTCCATCGAGATCATCCACAATGTCCTTGTGAGTTTCAGTTTCCCTCAAATATAGGTAACTTGACAGGAACTCCTTATAGTTGTCGAAAACGTCTTGTTTGACTGCCCAGAGGGTCTTTCTGTTTGCCTTCTGCCTGGCTTGATCTTCATCCGTGCCTTCGTCGACCTACTTGTCATATTTTTCATCCCTCATCTCCTTATTTGTTTCTCTGGCTTCAGCCAGCCAATCTTGGTAGGCGGCATTGTCTTCCAAATCTGAACTGTCTTCATCCAAGGTTTCGTCATCGACCTCCTCAACAGAATCCGAGTTTTGGTCAGCTTCATTCATGTCTGATTCCTACTCAACATGGATATTTTCCATTTGCCTCTCGAGATTAAACTGCCATCGGAAGCATTTGTCACACTGGTGACAGGCATAGGGCTTGGCTGTATAAATACCATTCAAGTTGACCCTGCGAAGGATGACCTTTAAATGACACGAAACAAGTGAAAGCGTTCCATAAGTCCAACATATACACGTATTTACTGCTTCTGATTTGCACATTTCATCGTTTAATTTTTCATTGTTTTATTGTTCAAATTGGTCTTTTTATCGCTCAAACTGCTCTATGTATTGCTCTTTTACTCGTTTTATTACTCTTTTCATTGTTCAAATTGTTCTTTTTATCGTTTAAATTGATTTTTGTTTGTGGTGTAAATTGATCTTTTCATTGTTAAAATATATACTTTTCATTGCTCAAACGGATCTTTTATTTTCATTGTTCAAAATAAACTTCATATTTTTCAATTGGTCTTTTTATTGTATAAATTGGTATTTCTAATGTATAAATAATGCTCTTTTTATTGTTCAAATTGGCCTTTTTATTGCAGGGGGAAGTAAACGCCAAACCTACACAGTCCAATGAGATTACCAATGAGATTTCTATCGAGTTTAACATTTAAAACAGTTTAAAATATTTTAACCATGAAAAGATAAATTCACACCAGAACAAAAAAATCAATTTGAATGCTAAAAAGAACAATTTGAACGATGAAAAGAGTAATAAAATGAGTAAAAGAACGATGAAATATGCAAATTAGACGCAATAAATACGTGTATATTTAGGACATATGGAACACTTTCACTTGTTTCGTGTCATTTAAAGGTCATCCTTCGCAGAGTCAATATGAATGGTATTTATACAGCGTACACAATGTAATCATAAACACAATAGTCTGCCGACATAGCTCAGCCACTACATACAGTCAATGGACTGCAGGGATTATCCCTCTCATTAACCGGCGGCACGAGCTGTCTATTGTGTAGGGATTATCGCTTCCTACTCTTTGATTACCTTAGGATTGCCTGGTGGGCCAGTCAGTATACACACATACATACTGTATGACTCATCTTGTTTCATCATGTTGTGCCATAATTTCATAAGCAAGGTCAAATTGTACCAAAATTTTTTACCCTGTGCTAGGCCTTATTCCTATTTTATCCCATACACCAGGGTCAAACTGTACCAAACTTTCTGACCTTATCCTATGCCTATCCATTACCAAAGGTCATTTTGTACTATCATTTTTCACCGTACACCTAATTCCTATTCATATCAATATCATATTATTATTATTAACTTATGAATATTAATGTGACCTTTTGTCATTTTTGTCGCAAAGGTCAAACTGTGCCAAACAGTCCCCCCCACTACTAAGTTGGCTACCCTTAAACTTGTAGTAGCTAAGCTGAGAATCTGGAGCCGTCCTCACTGTTTTCAATGTTAGCTTTAGTGACATGACGAATTTTTGAAGGTGAATTGTAAAGTGATGTGTTCCGATATTGCTTTGGTGGTCTACTGCTCTGGTGTGTTCACAATAAAAACAACAGACCCTGCGGTGCTTATGTCTATTATAAGCCTTCATTCTTGCTTGTTTGTTTTTTGCCGTAGACAATTAAGTTGTGGAAATCATGATTTACAGATCTGCAGTTGTGGGTATCGGTGTAATGTGAACTTATAGTTTAAATTTGGGACATGTGGAATCCTGTTTTCACTCTACATCCCAGGACACTAGTGGACTGAAGAGTCACTGTATACTTACTGAAACTTTCAGCTCAGAATGTCTTTTAAGCACTTCCCTTTTCCTCACGGGGGCAACAAATATTTGATTATGTTGATCTTTGCTCAGAATTTTGAATTTCTGTTCCCGCAAACCCCACAAAATTTTCTAAGATATTTCCAGTCCAAGCTTCAAAGTATTTATGCATAGGTTGCCGCCACTGTGCACCGACCATCCATAATCCTGCTCACCGTAACTTGCATGAATTCGAATTTCAGTGCAACTGGTAATCGGTAGTATCGATACCACGGGTAAAAAAAGTGAAAACATACCTATATTCGGTTGAATACAACTATGCATCATTTGTATTTTCGATATCAAGAGAAAGAATCGGTACTATTTGATTTGAAAAGAGCGTCGTAAAACCCGTTTTTAAACTCAAATTTTGAGAAAAATTGGGAAGTCACCGCGGTGGAATGTCAGGAAAAGATTTTTCAGGACCTTTGCTATGTTTTGGCCTGGTGCGTTACGCTAAGAAAAATCAATATGGAGAGATATCATTGAAGACATTTTTCCAATGGGTTGTGGTGAGTCAACAAACTTACATTTTAATAATTTGCATTTATCTGTTTTTCTCTGAAATGTCATGCAAGTAAAAAACACACCCTAATCTTTACATATAAATGCTTTTTATTTTAAACAAACCTTTTATTTTGTAAAAAAAAAACATTGTTTTTATTCGTTGTTTCAGTTTATTGACATGCACAGTTCTAAATTAACTAAATTTCAGTTGGGTCAGTGGGACTCGAACATTCGTGTGTTTGTTGCATCATGTAATATGTGACACGACAGACACACAAGACAAACACTCACTAAAGAAAGGATATGCGTCATGAACAATTAATCCAATAGTTTGAATGTTTGGTCCGAGTATCAGCCTACAATTAGTTGTCAGGTGCAGATGCGCTAACTTACTACACGCAGCGTGTAGTTCTAAATTTCTTTTTAGACATTCTCTGCCTGCCCATTTATTTAAAGCGGACAACTACTTAGACTTGTTTTCCTCAAAACAAAATACACGCAAAAGATTCCTCTGAGTTTGCCAGCATATACCGATTCAATCTATCCATTAAACGACCGATATTCCTTAACTTTAAAAGTTGCGTTATACATTCTGTAACTGACACACAGCACATCACACTGACCCATGCGGCAGACCGTTGAGTCTGCAAAACTTGTATTGAGCAAAGCAGTTCATAAAGCAAGGTCATTCGACCGAAAAATTGCCCATGTACATACATCGACAAAATACACTTTTATTACTACCTCTTAGCTACGTAATGCATGTACAACGTACATGTACATGCAGTACAGTCTACACAATCATCACATTCTCACATTATTCTACACGTTCACTGTCGTTATACTTCAAGTTTCATAGGGTGTGGCTATGACGCCATTAACATTAGGCTTTTACATCAGGCTTTAAGAATTATCTGGCAAAATGTATGTAGAGCTGTACCACGAGTACCTACCGACAAACAGTGCAAGCGGAAGAACAAGAGCCCATGCCCCAGAGAACGCCATCGTTGAGTGTGATCATGTGACGGACGTGTACATGTACAGTGCGTGTACACTGTAAATGAATTCTCCGCCTTTTGTACCCGCACTGGGCTGTGGTGCCACTAGTCTTGATTTCAAGACGTTAGTGCTTGATAGCGGACACCGTGCATAGTGCACCCCCTAACGACTCAAAATTAGACTGTGCGCCAGCTCGCACAGGCTAACGTCTTCGGAATCTTGCAGCAGCTTTTTAACTTGTTCTTTATTTTTACCTCGGCTTTTCATGGGAACCAATCAGCACTCGCTAAATTGCATGCATAATAAATTTTGATGACCTCAATAATACACCATGGTATGGTCACATGCATCATGGCTGTGTGCAGTCCCGTCAACTAGAACACAGACACGACCACACAGACGTTCGTACAGAGTTAGCACGGAGTAGAAGGGGTGATACTCAGACTAAGTTAGGCCTAGGTTATGACAGAGGATGCTGTTCTTGGTGTCCCATAATCATGTACAGTCAGTATGCCCTCCCCAGCTAACTAAAGCGTCCTTAGAGACCATGTAGACCTTAACCTACGAGGACGGAGTATCCGGACGGCAAGTTGGTTGTCGTTTTCTTGCTGAACGTGTAGGTTTATTTGCCGCTTGTGTTTGTAATTTGGTCCCAGGCAGCATGCACATTGTGAGTTTCAAAAAACGAGAACGTATTTATTGTGTGATATCAGACAACGATTTTGTTTTCCCAATTTTTCTGCCACAAACATCGCAAACTTGATGCGATGCAGCACAACTGTAGTCCCCAACGATATCTTTTAGAAGATTGACAATTTCATGTCTAGTATGGAGTGGAAAATATGTCTTACATGTCACTAATCCCTTCCCACAAACCAGACACTATCGACATCAGTGCTCGTGTGAAGCCGCCATGTTGTTCGAACTTCGAAGTACATGTACATAATTATAATACCAAGGCTATAAATATTTAAGAAGATCGGACATTTGCATACAACTGCCCCACCCCCTTTCCTGCAAGATTCCCAGGACGTTAGTGAGAGTAAGTAAAATCTAGGTGTGCGAGGGCGCTCTTCAACAGAATTAAAACAACTATCAACCACTGACGTCTTGGGCCAAGACTATGGCGCCACTGGGTTGGTTTACTGTAAAATTTTGTGAAGGGTTAAGGCCTTTATCAAAACTCGACTCCGTTGGAGCAGTGGCTCGTCTCTGCGCCCACAGCGGTGAGGGGTGCAGTCCACTTACAATTCAAGGGAGAATTTCTGGCCAGCTGATTAGCATTAAGAGTCCTCCCCACACACACATGTACACACACAGTATCTTTTGAAAAGGGAGATTGTTCGGCCCCCAAAATGGTGAGATTGTGTAAATCGTTGCCAGGATCAACTCCCTAGGCCTTTGAGCTTTCATCTGAGAGCAGAATGGCTAAAAAAGTCGTTGAAAAATGGTCCAAATTGCCCGAGAAAATTGAGGGTTGCCACTTGAAAAATCACCTGTAGGGGGGTGATTTTTTTTTGTTATGTGATTGGTTGACCCACAAAAAATGAAAAGAAATAGAAAGACTAGGGACCCGACAATAATTGAATTTGTGTTTCAGAAATCTAAGGGATGTTGGTATCATGTTATTGGGCCTGAACAGCACTGATTTTACACTGTTTTCAATGGGGCTTGATTCAGTGGACAGTACCAGCCCCAGAGAAGTTTGGGCCAGTAAAATGGTCGAGCTCCCTCTTGGGAAGGAGTTGATTTAGTCCAGTGAAGCCAGTGGAACACCGCTCCACGCTAGGAATATATCACATGTTCTGTTGGAATTTTCCTCAAATAGGGTGTGCCAAATATTTCATTTGTCGTGTTCCACAAGTGTCAGTAAGAACAAATTTATTCTTTACGTATATAGGTCTACATGCTCTCATACATTGAGGTTCGAGGGATGTTTGTGGGGTTGTTAATTGGGAAATTTTCATGTGTATCGACACTAAAATTTGGCAACAGGCGTCTGCTGTGTACACGTTGTAATCACATGCAATTGTACATGCACACGTTTACTGGGGTAAAATATTGTAAGCTTACTTACACACGTACATGTAATGACTGTCTCATTTGTTTGTAGGAATGATCCTATAATCAGATCCGTCCGTCAATCTGCATGTGTTCAACTTCAAGCTGCTAAGTACTGTTACTGTTTTAAGAGTTGATTGCGAATAAAGCAGAAGTTTTGACTGGTAACTTGAGATCTAGAGTTCCGGGGCGGACTTTTATTTTTCTTTATGAAGAAGCTACAATTATGAAGGCCTTACAATGGTATAAAGGAAGAAAACTCTCATCTGTGTTGCTTCAAGTCATACACTGCGCAAAATCCTCACCTAATGGGCTGTGATTTTACCAGCCCGAAACCGAGATGTGAGAACTTCGTCAAATTTCTGCTTCTCTGCACACGTACCAAGATATGCTCCTGAATTTTTACCATAGCAATGGAACCGTCGTATGTCGCGAGGAAAACAAGTAAAGACCTACATACAAAAACAAGAAATAGCGCTTTTGTATTAGTGCATTTAAAATTTAAATTTGAGATTATGACTTGAAATGTTAAGAAACATGTTTCCAATCTTCAAGAACTTACGAACACATAAATTGTCTTTATTTAAAATTTGAAATATATGTATTGTAAAGTATTAACCTCTCCTAAAACAAATGAACAAAACTTGAACAAACAATAAACCCAACTGAATTTATCATGGTATGTACAAATGCGTATAAAGTCTTTGCCTTTGTGGAGTTTGTTAAAATTGTTAGAATTTGTTCCTCACTGACGAACAGTTCTTGCCACTGCAGCCATGATAATCACACATCTAATGGCTTTTAGTGAAGTGCATAAATTTTTTTCAAGCAGATGAAATATGACGCAATTAGAAATGAGAGGGCCTAATTTGGAATTTTCCTATCAGAATAAATAACAATTTGACCTACTGTCGTGACAGGAAGTCAGCTTTCTCTTTACACCCGACAAACCGGCGGATGCACCGAGCAGGTAATTCACGCATAATGAAATAACATAACAGTGTCATCGAAAGTGCGCACGTACCAACCAGTGACAGGTAGGCCGTGTGTCCAGCTGGTGTCGGATGGCACAACTGAGTACATTTGTACATGTATACGCTCAGGAAATGCGTGGGCTGTTAGGTCGAATGCACTCCCATATGACTTTAAAGACATCGAATGGTTTTCTACACAGTGCGGCCACAGCGACGTGCTGCATTGTACTTAAATCCCCGCCAGTTCACGCCGTCACGAGAGTTCTGTGGAAAGTGCCAGCTTGTACTTGAGGGATTCTACAATCTGCTCAATTTAAGGTTATTGTTGTTCAGCCTCACTTGGTGACTGTTTGGACGGTGACCGTAGAGGTGGTAAAGTGAATATCAAAATAATGTTCCCCAAGAACACAATCCCAGCAACGGTGGCTAAACCGCCAGAGAAACCATCACTTCAGAAGAAAATAGACACTACTGTTCTGTATATGGCCGATACCACAGACCAACAGGTACGTGGCTGAATTCACCTGGTATTGAAAAATTAAGAAGTCGTTTTTGAAAGGGCTCTAAGTGTCAGAATTTAAAGCTCTTTCTTTGTACTTCTTTAGTATTTCTTTCATTTAAAATTAACGAAAGTTTAATTTCGTTAACGAAGGGTAACTCGACCTAAATGCTGATTCCTTTTTAGAAATAACACCACTGGATTTCACTTTCAGAGCACGGTAATTCAGAAATAAAAAAGTATTCGTCGTATTTGTCGTCATTTTCGTCTCGCTCCGGAAATGGCGTGGAATTGGAAAAAGCAAATTCGTTTTTTGTTATTTTTTTCTTTTCTAAAGCAATTTTAAATGAAAGAAGTGCTATATTAATCAGGAAAACCTATTTTCGCTGGTTGTTTGGAGAGAGGTGATAGTGATTCTTTTGTTAGGCACGGAGCATTTTCTTTCTTTCTTTATTTATTTATTTATTTTTTTATCTTAATAATGATTCTTTTTTGTTGCGCTCTTTCTTGCCTTGCCTTTCTATTTGGGTCTTGGGAGACATACGCCTTTTGGCGACAGTTTATTTTTCAACTTTTATGTTCTCCTGGGCAGCCTGCTGTGTCTGGTGATTGTCTTGGTGAATGTTCAATTGCCCAAATAAAAATATTTTAAAAATTAAAAACAAATATTACTCAAGTCATGAAATATCATGTTAACCCCGGGATGACGGATTCCATTCCGCCTGTAACAGAATAAAATCAATGTTCAGGACATTCGAAGTTCATTGTCAGTGTTCGTTTAATGATTTCCTGCATATGATTTAGAGAGTATGTATATCTACGTGTAATAATAATAGCATAGGCTTAAAGAATCCATGTTTAACTTTGATATGTCGTTGTTCTTACCATTCTTGTCGTAGGTTGAAAACAATTACAGTCGTTGGCAAGTCAAACGGGCCAAAATTTGCGCATGTACTGTTGTCCTGACGACGCTGATCCTAGTGGCCGGCACGCTGGGTGCTATTACTATCGTGCTGCAGGCGCAACAACACAGTACTGATAAAGCAGCCCCCACCCATGCAGTCCCCAAGGAGCCGCTACACAGTGGTCCTAACTCCCCTCAGAGAGGGCCCTACCCCAACCCACTCATTAAGATCGACAACGGTGGGCTCTGGCCGGCTCCCAAGAACCCCGTGACTCATACTCCTGACCTGGTGGCTGTCGACGGCGAGGGAACGGTCTTCATGTCGTCGTCTCCAAAACTAGGTAACGACGGGATAACCATCGACTCCTTGTCAGTCCCCAAGAACCCCGTGTCTCAGCCTCCTGACCTGGTGGCTGTCGACGGCGAGGGAACGGTCTTCATGTCGTCGTCTCCAAAACTAGGTAACGACGGGATAACCATCGACTCCTTGTCAGTCCCCAAGAACCCCGTGTCTCAGCCTCCTGACCTGGTGGCTGTCGACGGCGATGGAACGGTCTTCCTGTCGTCGTCTCCAAGACCAGACAGCGACGGCATCATCATCAACTCCTTGCCGGACGAGAAGCCCATATTTATAGCTGATCCATTCTCTTCCTCTTCCTCTTCCTCTTCTCCTTCCTCTTCCTCCTATCAGGGGAGGACCTACATCAGTTCCTCCTTCCCCTACAACGGTTACTACGCTCGAGGTGGTGTTGGCGTTCCCTCTTCTTCAAACCCGTCGGAAATCTCAGGTGACAGTGATCTGGAGGGTTCTGCTGAATCTGCCGCCTACGAAATAAATGACATTTCTGTGGGGCCCCATAACAGTTTGCAGCAAGACATTAACAGTGACTCTGGTCCGGGACCTGACGTCTCCAGTGTCAGTGACGATTATAGTATGAGCTATCCATACGAAACTGAATATTAAACTTGATGTAGTGTTTCTATGGCTGATTTACCCATCTTGTTTTGTTCATCAAAACATCGAATCTTGTCTCAGTATTTTCTCATTGCATGGAAATGAGGGTGTTCTAGTTCTGGTCCTTGATCATGTCTTGCTAGCAATGCGCTTTTAGTGGTTCAGAGAGCCGTTTTCAGAGAGTTTCTGGCCGATCGAGGATTCGCTGTACAAATTGACGCCATATAGTTCCCAAATCTCTTGCCATTTTTTTCTCCAGTTGCCAAAGGCTGTCTTTTGCTTTGTAACAATATCATGCACTTGAGATATAAATTACAATTATTTATATGTTCTCTGTTTACATTTAATGTAAAATATTACACTAATCATTTTATATGGGATTGATACAGTTAAATGACATCCGTGGATGAGATAAAAATGACTAACTTTCTTACAGGCACTGACTCATTTCTCTTTTCACTATTATTAGAAGTTTTAAACAACGGTCTTATATGATGGCACTAAAGTCGCATAAGTCCATTCTCTTGATTTCAAACAAATCCTACACGCATCGCTTTTTGGAAATTTTGTGAGTTTCAAACCCTTTCACGATTCACATTCTTCGCACTTTTATGGCGCTGAAATGTAAACAAAATGTGGTCACAATGCTTCAATTGATTAAGAACTACACACTGTACAGTGAACAGTTTTCTTGAAATTTTCTACTCATTTGTATGCGTCATCCGTTTTAGCAATGCTTCTCATCTGCGAGTGTACTCTTCTAATAAAGCTGTCAGAACAAAGCTCGTAATTCCGTAAACACATAGCATGCTGTCTAGTGACAGTGGCAAGGTTGTCGTTGTTTGCGCGTGTTCTGATATGTAGGGTCAGAGGTAATGCATCCCACCATATCCGCAGAGAGCCCGTAACAGAGCACATAAGGGTACAGTCCACTGATTCAAGCCCCATTGAAAACAGTGTAAAATCAGCACCGTTCAGGGCCCAAC